CCATCATTAATCATTAAAAATTATTTTTATTAGGAATGTAGTGAAGTAAAAGTTGTCAAATTGAAATAGTAAAGTACAGATACCCCCCAAAAAACTACTTAAGTAGTACTTTAAAGTATTTTTACTTAAGTACTTTACACCACTGATGTCAACAATGGAATAATACCATACCAAAATATAGTTTTTGGGGTGGAATTTTCCTTTAAGGATGAACAAAATTCAGGAGCGAGGACCAGATTTCAATGCAACACTTAACTAGTTGCCTTGAACGCAGCTCCCTACCAACTCAACAAGCACCAGCTGCTAGCCATTGCCAATCAGCCTCCTACTGTTTGCAACACTTAACTAGTTGCCTTGAACGTAGCTCCTCAAACAAGCTCCAGCTGATACTAACTGCTAATCAGTCTCCACACCTGTTCTCACTCTCCTTTATCACCACTTCCACCATATTTAAACCCGACCAAACAGTCATTCTTCCTCTTGCGTTGCATCCCTCCTCCCCCTCCCATGTCATTCTCCTTTTACTTAGGTTCCTTCAAGGATCTTCCGGGGATATTGCCTTCACCACAGCAGCCTCACTGCCTCAGCCTGACGGTGATGTCTACGTGTGACTCCAAGCCAAACCCTACAGCAGGGGTATCAAACTCATTCCATGGAGGGCCGAGTGTATGCAGATATTCGTTATTTCCTTTCAACATGTGTCCAATTAAGACCTAGACACCCAGGTGAGGGGAGTTCCTAACCAATCAGTGACCTTAATTTATCAATCAAGGGATGAGCAAAAAACGTCAGACACTCGGCCCTCCGTGGAATGAGTTTGACACATGTGCCCTATAAGAGTCAACTCCCCTGGATCCTTCATCTGCAGCCCTTGGCTTCATCTGGTCCATTCTCGCGTCATTCAATTTCCTCATATTTTAAACCCATTTCAATTTCTGATCCTTACACTTGTGAATACATTGTAAACTGATAAATTAAATTGATACAATGTACGGTTGCAAAATTATGGGAACTTTCAATAAATTCCATGGTTTTCCATAAATCCTTGTTGGAGGATTCTGGATGTCCTGCATATTCCCTTCTGATTCCAGGAACCCTCCAACCAGGATTTCTGGAAAACCATAGAATTTATTGAAAGTTGCTGGAATTTCACAACCCTAATGCAATGCAAGCTGATGAATGTCAAGCAGAGAAACAGGTGAGACTGTATCAGTTGACATGTCATGTAGAAAAGGTGATTGTGTACAATGTTGCATTGGGCATAAATGGCATACAAACCTTACTACGTTCACAGAAGCCAATTTCCTTACAAAACCCTTATTCTGATGATTTGTCCTATGTGTTTGCTGTATAAGGATAATGAAACTGTAAGACTGACATATTTCTCAACATGCTCACAACCTGCCAATGGATACAAATTATTTTAAAAAATGCATGTCAAGTTTTAGTCAAATACTGTATAAAAATCTAAATACCATCTACTATTCTTTCTAACCAGCACTTCAAAAATAACAGTTTTGAAATGTGTATCTTCTATTTTTTGCTATTGGATTAAATGGCAAATGGTGAGCCTATCATTATCTGATGTATTGGTGACTAAACAAAATGTTCTCATGGTATTTCATGGAAAACTAAGATTATGCATGAATGACTCACGGGTGAAAGATGTGTGAAACCCCGATGCACAATCAAAGGTTCTGAACTTAAGATAGAGGGCATTACAAGTGTTTTGAGTTTTGTACTTAGTTTTGAAAATATACCACTTACATCTGAAAAATGTGCCAAAGTGATTGAAAGAAAGGATGCCAAATTCAGAATATTAATAAACTTTTACCTTTGAATATTATCTTACTCTACAAGTTGAGCAAACTCACAATCCTATTCCAATAGGTTGCCTTAGGGCTTGCACACATCGCACCAAATGTGGATCTAGCATTCGTCTGCCGATCGTTCAGCAGGCTGTGTTTTAGGGACCACCCGCTGTAGACGTCTGCTGAAATTTTTCATGTGATTCTACATGTAAAATCGGTGCCCACTCAGTTCGCAAATTCCATTCAGAGGTGCGTGTACTCTCGGCCAGCAAACGGTACTGCTGTGTCTGAGACCTTACAATTGTACGTTGAATTAAAAAAAAATGACTGTGTGTGTCACAGGAGGCTGCTGAAGGGAGGATGGCTCAAAATAATGGCTGGAACGGCGCGAATGGAATGGCATCAAACACCTGGAAACCATGTGTTTGATGTATTTGATAGCATTCCGCCTATTCCGCTACAGCCATTACCACGAGCCCGTCCTCCCCAATTAAGATGCCACCAACCCCACGTGCGTGCGTGCGTGAGGCAGGAAGGGATGGAGGGATAGCCGACAGAGACACTTAATTTCAGGTTGTTCATATAATGTTCGCACATCATTTGATGCAGGTTTGGATTTGTGTCTGAGTGCATAAGAGAGAGAACTATATGTTTTGCATTGTGCCCTTATGGAAGGACGTTAACGATATGTTTTAGGAGGGAAATAATGTAGAAATTCATGCAGTGTGTGTGATTGACATCTCTGGAGGGTGTAAGGGAGAGTGAGAGGAGGGAGGGAGAAAAAGAGGGAGAGGGAGAAGAGAGGATAGTGTGGGAACACAATTTCTCTTTTCAATCACTTCTATACGCCTTTATATGCTGTGAGTGAAATTGTTCTCACTCTCTAAGTCTATATGAGCGTCTGTGGCAGCCTGCTACCCCTCATTCCAGACTGTCGGCTGGAGCACAAGCAGTGGCTGGGCTCTGAGAGAGAGAGGGGCAGGCTCACATCACAGGGAGAGAGGGAAGAGGAGAGACACAGTCACAGAAGTGAAGAGACGTGACAGAGAGGAGAGACGCGTACTGCCTCTCAGGAAAATTAAGGCACCGTACAAGTAGGCTTCTCTCTCTTATCTTACACACACTGTTCACACGCCATACATACAATGCACAACAACTATGCATACAAACACACAGAATACACATAATTACAGCTTACATCAATGTTGCTTGTTTTATTGTGGAATACAGAAAATGTGAACATTTGAAATTCTATTTTGAAATTTGAGATTCTATTACTTAGCCCCAAAAAATGTATACTAAAACTTTGTATGGCTGATTTGATTGGTTTGATGGATGATTTCTTAAAATTGTTAATGGTTCAAATGGTACCCAATATTAGAATTTGTAATGATATGTTATTTGTTCAATCACAGATTTAAAAAAGGAATGTGTAAAAATATTATAAATGTATTATTATTCAGGACTATTATTCTGATATTTGTGTTTGTTTTGCAGTCTTTTAGCCAGTCTTTTTCTTTTTTTTGTAGTCTGCCTGATCCACAAGTGTATTAGATCAGATAGTGTGCCATAAGGAATTTGGTCCATTACGATAGCAGAGCAACAGATTAAATTTGCTTTAGGAGCAATTTGATTGTTATCTCTGTTGCCATAGATTTTAGGCTCACTTCAAAGTTAATAGGCAAACTGGTCATTTCACAGTTGAAATACCATCCAATACTAGACTGCAATACCACTCAGAGTATAGGACTGACTTTCATCTCAATATCTCTCTCTGCTTGGACAAGTTCATATGCAGCCTATTAAGACCTGAAGACCCATTCAAATGTATTGTAGGCTCTAGACAGTATGCCATGAAGACACCATTCACAAATGCATTGCATTATATACTGTTGTTTGTCATGTCACAGCACAATGACTTAGGCTAACATATTCAATCCCTCCTTCTTCCCCACCACCTGTTGATTTACCATATTCAGAGTGACTGAAAAACCTTCATCTATTTTTCTCTGTATATCAGTCAACCCATCTCTGTATTTCTTGGCTAAAGCATATTTGATTATGGCAATCAAAATCAAATTCCTGAAATAGTAGGCTATGATTGGGGGTCACTAATAATCTCCTTTCCTAATCTAATAAATAATAATAGTCTCCCAAATAACTCGAGGGGAAAAAAACATTTAAATGAATCACACAATATGTGTTAGTGCAGGCGAGACATGGTTGGCTTCTGGATGAGATGTAGAGCTCCTCTGCAATCAGAGGGTTTTCAGCTCTCATCAAGGCTCAGAAATAAGAGGCTGGAAGAGCTCCATCAGGTGCATGACAACAGCGTTACAGGGTATGCATATCTGAGGCGCTGGAGCTTAGACCAAGTGAGTAAAGTGAGTGCAGCCAGTAAAGTGGGCGTCGCGGTTTTAAAGAGACGGGACAGGAAAGACATGACATTTACACAGACACCCACATCCCGCCGCCAAAAAATGAAATGAAATTCTGGTTAGTACATACATAGAGGAAGAGGAAGAGAGAGGCCCAACTCGGCAGAGGTGGCATTTTTTTGTTGTTTCACCCACCAAGCAAGGAGTTGTTGTATGGTCAATGAGAGAGTGTCGAATTTGGTCAACAAAAAAATGGCTTATTTACTATGTGAGGTTTATTTGATCGAATAGAAGTTTTGTAATGCTTAAGTTGTTACGAGTGTGTTGATATAAGTAGGACACGTGACATCCCGGCAACTTTGAGAAAAACCACTTATCTGAGTTGTCTTGAGATGGCTATGCATATTCATGGCATGGGACTAGTAGCATAGCATCTCTCTCCAATGAATACAGGCGTTTGAAGTCAACAACCCTCATTGAATATTCAAAAAAGGATTACAATAATGAGATGTATCCACCAATCAAAGAAAGTATAGGCGGGAGCTAGACAGCCCGCCGTGCCGCTTTGTGGACAACGACTCCCATTGTTAGGGCGGAGTATCTTGTCAGTATATCCATAATCTTTGGTACATATTAAGTTAGCAGCTAAGGGAGACGGGGCTGCTGAGGGTCATGGTTATGAACTTAGATATTGGTTCAACCCTTGTCTTTGCTCTATCATGCTGTAAATGATGATGCTTCCTCCATTGTTTCCTAACTGCCACAATGTAGTGACTCCCTATGTTGTGCCATAGCGGAGCAGAGTACTGAGATGGATCCCATCCTGGAGGAGGTCCTGAGAGAGGCAAACACTACTGGAGGCCCCTCCCTGAATCACAGCAACAACCCTCTGGACATGTTCTCTGGCATGCAGCTGCTGCTGCGCTTCAAGCCCCTCTTTCTGCCCCTCTACTCCCTCCTGGTAGCCGTGGCCGGCATAGGCAACTCCATCCTGCTGGCCTGTATCCTGGCCGACAAGAAGCTCCACAACGCCACCAACTTCTTCATCGGTAACCTGGCGGCCGGCGACCTGCTGATGTGTCTGACCTGCGTCCCTCTGACTGCCTCATACGCTTTCGACAGCCGCGGCTGGGCCTTTGGACGCCCTCTCTGCCACCTGGTGCCACTGCTGCAGGCCGCCACCGTCTTCGCCTCGGTGCTGTCCCTCACGGCCATCGCTGTGGACCGCTACGTGGTGGTGGCCCACCCAGTGAGGAGGAGGATCTCTGTGGGGGGCTGCGGCGCGGTGGCTCTGGGGGTGTGGGGGTTGTCTCTGGCCCTGGCTGCCCCTCCCTCCCTCCACACGCGTTACCTGGACCTGAGACCCCGTGGGATGGAGCTGGTGGTGTGTGAGGAGTTCTGGCCGAGCTCTGGCCAGCTCAGGCTGCTCTATTCCTGCTGTATCCTGGTAGCCTCCTATATGATCCCTCTGCTGTCAGTCAGCGTGTCCTACTGTGCTATCTCAGTGCACCTGAGACGCCACACGCTGCCCGGAGAGCCCTCACACTGCCAGCAGCGCTGGAGCCAGAGGAGGAGGAAAACCTTCTCTCTCCTGGTGGCATCTGTGCTTGCCTTTGCCCTCTGCTGGCTGCCCCTGCAGGTGAGAACACACACACACACACACACACACAGGCACAGGCACAGGCACAATGCACTCACAATGATAGCCCATCAACTTTCCTGACATTGTTGACATCTTTATATAATTGAGCAGATTTCTTTGAGAAAATATGATGAAAAGCATTTTAGGGGCAGTTACATCACCTAGGCTGTACATAATCCCAATGTAATCTCAATGTCATCCTAATGTAATCCAATGTAATCCTAATGTATGTGACCCCTGACTGTGTGTTCCTCCTCCCTACAGGTGCTGAACCTGCTACTGGACCTGGACCCAGACTACCACATCGTGGGCAAGCGCTACGTCAACGTGCTGCAGGTGTGCTGCCACCTGGTGGCCATGAGCTCCGCCTGCTACAACCCCTTCATCTACGCCTCCCTGCACAGTAAGGTCTGGCTGCACCTCAAGGGCTACCTGTGTCCTTGCCGCAGCCAGGGGCCCCCAGGGGGCCAGCTCCTCTCCCGCTGCACCTCCCGGAACCCCGCCACCTGCCTCAGCCTACTCTCTGAGGTCCCCGCCACCGCCAAGAAGACCCCGGGGGCCGCCGGTCCCGAGTCCGACCCCACCAACGACAGCACCCTATGAGAGCATCAGGAACCACAGCATGGTTTATAAGTAGGGGTCAAAGATCATATACCACAGCAGCAGCCATTACATATATCTCATATACGCAGTTAGAGACGACAACGGGTCTCCAGCCAGACACCCACTGTAGGAGCAGGGGGGAGGGGGAGAATGAGGAGAGGCGGAGAGACAGTGTGACATGGGGGTTAGACTGCTCTGAAGACCGTCAACCCTCTGGATCGTTCATTCTATTTGCCTTAGGTGTCACTACAGCAGCCCTGCTGCCAACGACGATGAGCAGGTCCCCCAGCTATTCCGAGGCAGAGTGTAAACACTGTCGCGACCTTGGGCTGGGATGCAGGTTTGGCAGCGGCAGAGGGGGGAGATGACCCTTCTCTGAACTCCTCACTCTCCAAATGGATTACGCACTAAACAGAGGAGGACGGCAGGGCACAAACAGTCACTCTTTTCTGTTGTTCTCTCATTCTACTACGCTTTCGCCTGATTTTGACATCTTTCATATTTTCTCTCCCTCTTCTTACTCTCTCTTAATCTCTCTTTCCGATTTACTTAAATGTATGTAGCTATACTTTTATTTTTGATTCCTCTCTCTCTCTTTTTCTCTGCCCACCTTTCCCTATCCACCCCCCCCCCCCCCCCCCCCCTTCTCTTTCTCTTTGCCTGGGCCATATGGAGTGATTCCCCAGCCCAATGCTAGTTAGGTGTTTTGGAGTATCTTTGAATAGGTGTTCCCTGCAGTCTCAAACGCAATCAGCTCCCTGGAACGCAATTAACCCAAAGCAAAGTGCTATCTGTTCAGTCACCAACAGTGACAATATGGCTGCCATATTGACTGACAGCACAGGAACAGCACCCAGCCTGCCAAATGTACCTCACAATTGGATTAGTTCCTTATCTGTTGCTGGGTAGCTCAGCTAGAACACAAGCAACTTTTTTTCACCAATTGTATTGCCACTTGCTGAACCCAGAGACACTGGCTTTGAACCTAATCAAATGGATTCAATCCCAGAGGCACTCTCTGTTGGTGTCTGTGACTTGGTGTTATGTTCTGTTAAAAACGTTAGTTGTTTTCAAAGTGGATTTCTCCTCCCAAAAAAAGTATGTGTTGCATGAAGTTCCTACCATCTGATTTCCCAGTGTGTCGTGATAACAAGTGGGTTTCGACCCAAAATTATAGCCCTGGTGTCATCTTTTGACAAAACATTTTATAGAGATGAGTGAAAGCGTGATTTTCTAGCCGTGGTTTCGGTTGCCGTATCAGAAGAGGAATGTGTGTTTCTAACAGGGTTGGGCAGTGAGGGTGGTGGTTGAGGCACTAATTTCATTCTGACAGCTTATTGGAGGTGTGAGGATGGCTTAGTTAGCTGGGGTTAATGTAGCTACCATTCACAAGGCCTCTGAGCACGCTGTCACTGACTCACTCTAGCAAACCATCCATAGTGTCAGTCCAACAAGAACACTGGGTCGGAATGGCTTTAATTGTGATAAGTATGGATGTTTGTGTACAAAAGCAGTGTATATAATGGAAAAGGCACAGGGGTTTTGAATGAACCTCCTTTAAACAAATGGATCATGTAGGTTTTGAGTCTTACATTGTCACACATACACATATTTGAAACAATTACTCGCAGTGAATGTATGCCTGCAGTTTCACACATCCCTGTCACACACACACTTTTTCTGTTCCTTCTCTGTAGAGGCACCTGTTCTACCCTACCTCATTGTTGGCATCACCTTAGTTTCCTGTATGCTGTTCAGGGGTGCCATGCCCATAGGGGGCACAAGGGCACAGTGTCCCCATCAGATTTGTCCTGTTTATTTATTTTTCAGATGTTGAATGAATTACTGAACTTAATTTTTACTCGCAGGAGGTATGTTTGTAAATACATTTGATCAAGACATGTAGCCTATTGATTCCTCCTTGATGAATAAATAAAGCAACACATTTTGATGTTTCTCTGTAATACTAGCCACCTAGCAATTTTATGAAGTTGGCTTTAGCTAGCCAGCTAGATATGTTCCCAACCTCATAACTAGCTACCAAGCTATTTCAGGCTATCAATCAAGTTGGAGTAGCTTGTCTAACTAGCTTAGCTGGCCTGCCTGCTGGCAAGGTTGCTAGACTTTAGAAAAGCAACCAATTGCTAAATGTACTGAACAATATTCACATTCCTTTCTATACTTTATCCAGATTTTAGCAGAGATGCAGAAAATGATATTTAGTTTCTTTAAAAAAAGAATCACCAGTCAGGAGGTATGCTTAGATATGCAGAAATATACTTAGTTTAAATGTAATCTGTCACCTTATGATAATATCATGATATTTGTGTATTAATTATGATACCATGATATATGCCTGTATTGATGATGTGTGTTGTGATTCCATGTACTGTGTGGTAATTTGGATGTAATATCCTAGGCATGTTAGTGCAGTATATTGAGATGTGTGATTTACAACAGTCAGAATGACACCCTCATTAATATTACAATTGAACAGGTAAAGAGGTATGCTTAGATAATCTATGCAGAAAAATAGATTGTAGGAAAAAGCTGTTTCAGGTGTTTGAAAAATGCAAAATTCTCCAATCTACCACCCCCCTACATCCTCCGAGAATAATTGGTGCATGACGCACGCCCCTGTTCCTGTTTGTTTGCTAATTAAAAAGACTGTGAAATCGGTCTTGTGAAAAACAATGACTCAGTTCTCTTTTCGTCTATTTCACATGTCACGTTTTCACATACACAGAGACAAACGACAACAAACATTTAAATACACACATGCACATCCACCAATAGCGAAATGATGTAGCTATTTAGGCCAGTAGCAGTGACAAGTGCCACAGGAATCGACTCTAAACAAAGGGCAGAGCAGTTAGATGGGCCAGTAATGCCATGATGCTGACTGTGTGTGCATGCTAATTTGTTTCATTTATCCTATCTGGCAGCCATGACAGTAATGGGATGAGAAAACCTGGATATAGCCTGTCTTCCCCAATCCCAGCAGGGCTCAACACACATTAGCAACAGTTTCAGCGAATGGCCTTATGGAGATAAGTGTTTAGTCTATGGTTGAACCCTAGAGACAGATCTCTCTATCTCTTTCTCTCTCTAGCTGGCGCGGGCTCCCCAGACAAGTCCCTTCTCCCTGTGTGTGTGTGTGTGCGTGTGTGTGTGTGTGTGTGTGTGTGTGTGTGTGTGTGTGTGTGTGTGTGTGTGTGTGTGTGTGTGGCATGTAGGGAGGGAGGGAGCCACATTAGCTATACAACACGGACATGCATTGCAAGTAGGGCTGTCAAATTATTTTTAAAAAAGTAATCAAGTTAACTGCAGGATTTCCTGTGGTTAATCTAAAATTCCAAATGTTCTCAAATTAAGCTGTAATTTAAGATGTTTTATACAAACAGCATTACATGAATATTAGGCTAGTGGCCATTCCTCAAAAAGGGCTTTAGTTTTTTGAGATACCCCTAACCGAGGTAGAACAAAGCACAAGCATGTTTTTTCACATCTCAAAAAAAATGTATTTAATGCAAAAGTGGTTAAATTAATAGATATTGTGACACACCACCTAAACTCAAAACTTGCAGAATAATCCCTGGTTGGAGGGAGGGGATGTGGGCCACATAAACTAATGTAACCCAATTATACAAGCTCTGATATTGCTAAAATGTTGAATACAATTTGTAAGTTGTCTGCCCTGCACACACAAATAAACAGCATTAGGATATCTTAATGCATCTTGGAAATATAGACCTGTAAACACAGAGATACTATAGTCTGAAATATCAACTATGAGTATTTATAATGAATGTAAGCTTTACTTTTTGGTAGCTGAATAATAGACAATTTTCCAAGTCAAATTTGCTCATTGCTTTATGGTGCTGCTTGACAAAAATACATGCAGTTACACGTGTTTTTTTATGTCATGGCTATTGTAATCTAATCAGCTCTAAGGAAAACAAGTGGGCTGAGACAGTGAAAACTGTAATTTATTTTCAGTCAAAGGAATTTTGTAAAGATCCTTGCGATTATCATTCTGAAACATGAGGTGCACCTGTGTAATGATCATGCTGTTTAATCAGCTTCATGCTGAAACACAAGGTGCACCTGTGTAATGATCATGCTGTTTAATCAGCTTCTTGATATGCCACACCTGTCAGGTGGATGGATTATCTTGGCAAAGGAGAAATGCTCACTAAAAGGGATGTAAACAAATTTGTGCACAAAATTTGAGAGAAATAAGCTTTTTGTGTGTATTTAACATTTCTGGGATCTTTTACTTCAGCTCATGAGACATGGGACCAACACTTTACATGTTGCATTTATATTTTTGTTCAGTATATAAACTATTTACAAAAGTATGTGGACACCCCTTCAAATTAGTGGATTCAGCTATTTCAGCCACACCCGTTGCTGACAGGTGTATAAAATCGAGCACACAGCCATGCAATCTCCATAGACAAACATTGGCAGTAGAATGGCCTTACTGAAGAGCTCAGTGACTTCCAACGTGGCACCGTTATAGGATGCCACCTTTCCAACAAGTCAGTTCGTCAAATTTCTGTCCTGCTTGAGCTGCCCCGGTCAACTGTAAGTGCTGTTTTTGGGAAGTGGAAACGTCTAGGAGCAACAACGGCTTAGCCGTGAAGTGGTAGGCCACACAAGCTCACAGAATGGGAACCGCTGAGTGCTGAAGCACGTAACGCATAAAAATCGTCTGTCCTCGGCTGCAACACTCACTTCTGAGTTCCAAACTGCCTCGAAGCAACTTCAGCACAATAACTGTTAGTCGGGAGCTTCATGAAATGGGTTTCCATGTCTGAGCAGCCGCACACAAGCCTAAGATCACCTTGCACAATGTCAAGTGTCGGCTAGAGTGGTGTAAAGCTCGCCATTGGACTCTGGAGCAGTGGAAATGCGTTCTCTGGTGTGATGAATCACGCTTCACCATCTGGCAGTCCAACGGACTAATCTGGGTTTGGTGGATGCCAGGAGAACGC